GTCTAACCAATTAAAGACTAAAGTGAATGAAAAGCTTTTGAAGAAGCACAGACACACCAACTGAAAGAAGAGGATTTCTACCTGCTGCTGAGGTTGATTGTGTAAACTGAGTGAGGTTGAGCGTTGAAGAAGCTCAGAAGGTTTTCCTCCAGAACTTCCAGCGTTCCCTGAGAGAAGCAGAAACCACAGATCTCACAAAATTCATAGTTTGTGTTTGGGAAAAATAACTTCAGCAGGCGATCTCAGGGAGTCCTGCTCTCATGTCCCTGCGCATCATCTTTGTCCCTGATAATGATTAGGAGTATCTTATAATTTCTGATTTTCTTCAGTGTTTCATTGGGCACATTCATACAACAGAAGGCTAATGAACATCCTCTTTTTCACAAATTTCAAACATTATATAAAACATAAAAAAATAGGAAGATTAATCAATGAGGAAATAACTCTTGCAGCACGAAGCCACAAGCAGATGGGTCTATTAAGAGGACCTGCCAGTGGTGGTTAAGAGATAACTGGCTCTACATAAAACTAACATGAGTTGAACTTACTATCCGGTTGTTCAGTCTGACATCACTAGCCGTGTCTGGGCCTAAACTCTGCTGCAGGTCCATATATCAAACGATCACTGTGGCATTACTGAGAGTTGAAAAACTGTCTAAAGTCTTTCATCTTTAATAAAATGATCAGCGTTCTGCTCTACCAGGTGTAACAATTGAGTTTAACATCCAGGCATCCATGAAAATGGAATTTATGACATTTAACGGCGGTAGAAGTTAGCAGGGAGTTAGCTCGCTAGCTTCTATCTAAATACAATATAGCATGTCCTGACTGCAGGGTTTTGGAAACAAATTAAAACGTACAGCTCTGTTATCACTTCCAGCATAAATGAAGACGGAAAACTAAACAGCAGTGACGTTTGTAGGGTTACTGAAGTTTGGCTAGCTGGTATATAATGATGTGCTACGTGACCGCTAGCGACACAGCTATGTTAGCATAATATAAACAAGCTAACTTTTTTTCCACTTGCTAAAAGTTAACGTGAGTTTTCTCGGTGGTCAGGAACAAATGTAATCGCATGGCAGGATGCTGTAAAAGGACCAAACTTCAGCCAGGAGAACAACTGAGATAATCCATCCACAATACGAGGTTAGTCATTCATATACTGCTTGAAGGTGCTGGGCTGTAGTTACATCCTAAGGTTTTAAAAACTGAGCTTAAATAAATAATTAGCGGTAATAAAAGCCGAGGGAGGTCAACAGTGATCACTGACTGTTTTAGGAGCTTTTTGAGATTAAATAGAAGAAAATACAAAACATTAAACATGTTAACAACACAAAAGCCATATTAAACGCAGACTACTTTAGGCCCGGAAGTAGGATTTGTTGCGTCATCACTGAACAACCGGATTGGGGCTGGGCGATATGGCCTAAAAATCCATATCACGGTATAATTTGAAGCATGTGCGGTAATGATATATATCACGATATATTATTTTCTTCTGTATAACGTATTTTACACACTATAGGGCACACTTAAAATCCTTTAATTTTCTCAAAAATCGACAGTGTGCCATATGTATGAATTCTGGTTGTGCTTACTGACCAAAACAGGCGCAGCTTGTTGACACCAACAAAATGTGCTATCGCGGTAGAGCGGTATAGTCAAAATCTCTACCGTTGGCCAAATTAATATACCGTTTATACCGCCCACCCCTACTTACTATAAAGACAACGACTTCAAATACATGAGTGATGCAATCACTGACCAAACAGTGAGAGATTTGAAGCAGAGAAGACACTCACCATGGGGATTTGTTTCCGCCTCAGAGTTGCTCGCAACCTGCGATCAATTCTCTGGAAGCAGTCCTGAGCAGTGAAGGCAGGATTTACTGCAGAGAGAGACGACAAAGTCAGACAAACAGCTTCACTTTAAAGGCTCAAAGGGTGAGACTTACCATTCCTCTGGTCTTTGAGGAGCTGGTTGGTGTTTTTCTTCTTGGCCTCCTCCAGCTCCAACAGAGAGAGCAGCCTCTCCTGCTCCTCACCAGAGCAATTCATGAAGTCGTTCCACGGCTAAAACAACAACAAGACAAGAAATGACATTAGTCAGCGTTCCTGATCTTTCTAGGTGGTCTTCAAAACCCTGTGCCCTGTGAGACCTCGCACAAGCCAAACCACACAGTTTACATTTCTTTGGACACACAAACACGGTTTTTGAGCGGCAGTTTCCTGTGGGACCTCTCAGGTAAATATTTGCGCACACAGTACATAAAATTTGAGAACATGACACGGTGAAATTATAAATCTTTTCTTAAGCCGTTCGCACTTTTGCAACAAATGCCACTAATTTGTGTACCTCTACATAGTTTCCATTGGTGCAGACTTCATAGAAGATGGATGGGATGGCTGGGTTGCTGCAAACCTCCAGATCGTCTTTGGAGCACTCATCTTTCTCAAGGAGATTAGCAAGGTAGCGTGCTAATTTTCAAAGGAGAAGATTAGAGAGAGATAAATGAGCAAAGCAATGACAGGTTTATGACTTTATAACTAATGTAAACGTTTTTCTCATCCTCTAAGGTATTGAAGCCACTAACGTCAGAATTCTTTGTAAAAATGTTGCCCAGCAGCCTCGGGAGCCTCAAATACATCCTATAAAACATTTTGAACTTGCACACAGAGACTCTTCCCCAAAGTAATCCTTTCAATGCTTTCCCAGCATTGCTCAGCCTGCAGTCTCTGACGCCGTTCTTTTAATTTACGTAAAATGAGAGCTTACTGTTCTCCTGTCGGCGGAGGCTCTTCTTGCCTTTGGCCCTGGGTGTGAGGTCAGAGTTGCGGATGGCTTGGTTGATATAGAACTGTTTCTTTTTGGTGGGTGACACTCGCTTGGCAGGAGAGCTAGGCAATGAGGTGCATTTACGCTCCTCTACCAGGCTGGAAAAACAGAGCACAGTGGATCAGTTTAGTGAGTTTGAGTTGATATATCTTTCAGAAGAATTTCCAGCTTCCAATCTCAAAATCTGATTGAGTTGTTGGAATTTCAAGGGAATCAAGTCAGCTTACTTGTTCCTCAAGCTGCTTTATTTAAACCTATTCAAATGCTCAGATGTGAAAGTAAAAGCAAGGTGTACCCTGTAACAGGCCCGGTTCACAGAAGCCCTTAGCAGGATAAACACATATAACTGACTATTTACTTATTTATTGTGTTACAGCCTTTCCTGCACAACACCTGGTACAGGTGCACAATAATAATTTCACCCTGAAACGACATGTAATAACAGCTGTAGTAAAAATCTATTGAAATACGCATATTTACATGGATGGCCATGTAATCACCTTATCTGAGGAATAACTAAGATGAAAGCATATAGATGACATTTATCCTACTAAAACTGAAAATACACCCATGAAAGCTGCAGATTTTTCCCTCCTCTGGTTTCTCTGTGTAACTGGGTCAGAACAGAGCAGAGCATCCCACAGCAGCTTCAGATGTAGGTCAGTGGGTGTCTGTGTGGACCGCCTCTGCTGGAGCTTCTTCCTGTGAGCTCAGTTGTCAACATGCTGATGCCATTTTTAGCCTGAGCTCTGCAGGTTATTAGCAACATAATATGATGTAATCTGTGCCTGGACTATTTAGGTTCGCCCATTCTCTCCCTCTGGCATCCAAACCTTAGTTTAATAAGTAAGACCTAACGAAACATGTTTCAATGCAACCTTAAAAACGCGTATTAGTTATTATGGTCGGTGTTGCGATTTCTGGCTTAAAACAGGATTTTGAACATTAGAACCGCCTCTCACCTTTAGACTCCGCTACAGGAAGGCTAGTTAGGTGCTAAAAGGCTCACAAGGACAAGTGTTAAAATTGCCCTTTAACTCTTAAATAACCAAAACCAACTACAGAGTGTATTGAAATTTTTATGTGCAGGAAACGTTGCAATACAACTAATACAAGCAACGACTCCTGAAAATAAACCTAGCTATTTATGTTAATATGACTTATTTTACCGGCTAATAACTAGCCAGCCAGCTAACGAAACAGACTCGTATTTTTGTTTTTTTTACTCACATATAATCCTGTTCTTCATTGCTATTTGTCAAAACGACCATCTTATTCCAGAAAAAATAGGCGGAAAGATCCCACTGTCTGTATCTTTACAGATCGAGAACAAAGTAAATCAATACAGTTGACACAAGAAATATAAAAACCGGACAGATTATCAGGTGAGCAGCTAGCTGCTGATTGCTAGCTTGACAGTAGGCTGTTGTCTTTTCCACAAACAAAGAGAGGAAAACACAGAGAGCACTCACTCCGTCCATAGTTTGTAGTCTCACATGACTATAAATGAATACAATACATTTGGAGGACAAATCCTTCATAACACAAGACTTCAGGATGAATGATAAAACATGGACCATGAATTTGTTTGGAAACATTTTATTTTTGACTATTACTAAAACATTCGTTGATGCAATAGAGTGTAGAAATAAGCAAAATTTATCATTGTCCAGTGAGTATCTGTTTAAAACTGAAGCATTCACTTTAACCTAAAGGTTATAATTTTAAGTGCATATGATTCTTAACAAAGACATTTGAAAGCAGCTGAAAAAAAGCTTTCAGATTTATTTCTAAGAAAATGGTTTGATGTTGTTGTTGTTTTTAAACGTCTCCTTAGTGGGTCGTTTTGCATCTTTCTCATAGACGATCTTTGATCCACCTCAGCAAACAAGAATTCCTGTCATAATTTCTGTAAGCGCCTCCATCATCTGTAAAACCCTCCATGTTGGAGAGCTTTGAGCTCAGGCATTATTCCTGCTTTGACTTTGGTTTCTTTCTTCTTAAAGTTCAGGTGACAGCAGTTTGTGTGCTCGTTACCATAACAGCAGATTTAATGGGCCAGCCACAGAGACCTCCAATTGTTCTCAGTATTTCCCACTGCTGCTGGAGAGAGAGGAGTTCAGCCTGACAGATCAGAGAGGGAAGTTTTTTATGCAATAAAGTTTTGTGGGATATGTCTGAATAATTTCATAGGAAGTGGTCAAAGGTGTTTTTATGTATATTTATTAAGTGAGATGGGGAAAGAGAACAACACAGTGATAGTAAAACTAGAACCAGGTTTCCCACTAAATATAGAAGCAAAGAAGCAATTTCCCAGGATGAGCACAGTGAAGTCAAAGAAGAGGATAAAGAAGATCACATCGGACAGCAGGTCCACCACAGATAAGGACGGGACTACATGTGAGATATCAGGGAACATAATGAGGCTTTGTGTCAACTTAATGCCGGTTTTAACCTTGGCTAAGGAGACTGAGCAGGAGGAGGAAGACGAGAAAGAAGAAAGCAACACCTCCATGAGTCGACAGGAAACAGAAACCAGCAGCAGAGACCCATCTGTCAGCAAACTAGTGGAACAGAAACAAAACGCAATTGACCTCCAGTCAGGATTAACCTCAGAGAGAACAACCAAAGCAAGACTCTCACTGACTTCTCCATTTCTGCCGCCGCCTATAAGCGAACCAAAACCATTTGATCAGAGCTCAGGCTGTCTCACTCCTCTGCCTGCCATCACTGTGCATCAACAAGCAACAACCAGCTCTGCAAAGCTTGGAGCAGAAGGCTTTGGAGGCAGTGGAGCAGTTACAGCGCAGGCTTCAGACATCAGGCCCTGGATAGACAATCCCCTGTTCTCCAAGAGTGTGAGTTAGTTTCAGATCCATTCACTGGGACATTTTCTGAACATAGTGGTTCCTGTCCTTGATGGAAGTGTATTAAACATTAAAGAGGCAGTCTACTGATTTAGCACAGGTGAAGGGTTGAGGGGGAGCACCTCAGAGCCTGTAGAAATAGTAGATGTTGAGCATCAGAAAAGAAACGCAGCATGTAGCAAGCTGGGACAATGTCTAAAAGAAGTTGGCAGCTTAAAGATTGGATTGTGGAAAATGTAGGCTTCCAGTCAGGGCTTATTTAGCATGAGCATATGCCTGTCTTTATATGGGACTGCACAGCATTTTTATCCTTTGTCCCTCCCGCCCCACAGCTTCAGAGATTGTCCCATATTTTGAGTTTGTTCTTTTCTGTGCAGAGATTGGCTGAGGTTCAGCTTCCTGACATCACCTTGTCCAGCCTGAATGCACTGCTGCAAACTGTCACATACAGACTGAGGAAGAAGAGGAGAGGGGCCGAGGAAGGACTATGGAGACAAGACCGGACTGATCAGCTCCTCGTGGCCTTTACAGATCAGAGCAGTGTCGGGCAGCAGGATGGGAAGCGGGGCAGCATGTACGTTTGATGGATGTTACAGTTTCCATTAATCTTCAGGGACAGCAGTCTGTCCAGTTAGATAGCAGCAACAATAAGACAATAAGGGGATGTGTTTGTAGGGGATTTTCTCTAGTTTTTCCTCTACTTTATAATTTCATGTCCTTGTCACTAGTGGTAGCATGAGACAGTACCTACACATGTAGTCAAACTCCTTCAAGATGTGGTCAGAGGTTTTGCTGTCTCTCTCAATACAGTTTCAAGACTGAAGGAAATACCAGGAGATGGGCCTTCGCACAAGGAGAGCTGGACAGGGCAGTAGAAGGGCAGACTATTGTCTGAAGTGGGACAGCACTGCCACAGCCCCACAGAATGACCTCCAGTGGGCTGTTCACGGGCAGATTTTTCATCAAACTGCCAGAAATGCAGTCCACGGGGCCCTGATGTCCTGTTCTCACAGTCTAGCACCCTGCAGCTTGACTGGCCTTCATCAACGATATGCCTGCTCAAGCCATTACTGACCCACTGTAAACCCGGGACTGCTGGATGATGTTCCTTCAGGTCCCGCTGAAGGACATCAGGAGGTCACGGCATCCTCATGGAGTTGCTTTCATTTGTACCAAACCAGGAGGATTCACAGTGGTTTCTGCTTCCTAACTGGACACACTGGTATCCCTGAAGTTTAACTGATTCTGTGTCACACTGTGATGATCGAGCATTCCCTTAATTTTTTTTAAATATACTTTATTTACCCCAAGAAGTATGATGTCTTCTAAATGCTGATATTTATTTGTGTCGATTATTTCTTTAAGAAAATTATTTTTTTTATTGACTTCAGTAGTACGTAATCCACAGGAGCTGTTGACAGTCAGTGACACATAAAATCTTGTCAGTTAGTTAAATTTAGTGTTAATACTCCAAGCTGAACTGAACAAATATTATCACAAGAGCAAGTTTTATGCAGGTTTCGTGTGTGTACACATAAATATCTACACCAAATAAACGGTAAAATTTGATTCTACATTTTTTTCTCCTTTAAAACAGACGAGCTGGAAAAGACAGATCACCTGGTGCCTGCAGGGTAAACAGACAGATGAGCCTTCCTCCACTTCATCCTGCACCCAAAGCGCCTCTCATCTTCCTCAGGATGGTGCAGCCAAACCACCTGACTGCTCAGACGCCGCAGTGACTCAACAACCACACATAACTTGCAGATATTTTTAATTTTTTCAGAACACCAGACATTCTTTTAAGCTACCATACTTCAAGGAAATAACGTACATCTTACAGCTGATATTCAAGTAGAACAGCATATTCATTCCAAAATGAGACATCCAGCTTACAGTTTCAGTTCTGCAGTATTTCAGGGCATTTTAGTATAATTGTTGATCTTTTATTAAACATTTTCTGCCTTTTTTCCAGAGTTAGACAGGAAATATAAGAGAGGGAGCTGGGAAATTACAGCACGCAGCTGTAGAAGCCTTTAAGGTTACACTACATGGACAAAAGTATTGGGAGTAAGTCTGTACTGTTGAATTAAAGCAGCTAGCATGCCGTCTGTCTTTACAAAGATTCCCGAAAGAATGTGCTGTTGGAGAGAGCTCACTGAAATTGAGCTTGGTGCAGTAACAGGACGCCACAGCCGCAGTTTGTGACATTTCTTCTCTCATAGATATCCCACAATCAGCTGTAAGTGGAGGAAGTGTTTGAGAATGACAGATGGTCAAACTCCAAACATGGCTTTGGTTTCCTTGGCTGCTCCACTACTTTTATCCATGTAGTGCACGTGTGCTAATCACTCACCCATCCAGCTGCCCCACATTGTTAAAAACAGGTTGCATTTTGGAATGAAATCCTTCTGATACGTCAGGTTTGTCTCATGCATATATATATATATATATATATATATATATAAAATGCCATTACAGTACGGTAACATTCAGCAGCCAGTGTGTCGTTTGTTAGAAAGAAACAAACACATAGTTCAGAATAAAAACAGTTGTTGACTGAAGGCAATGTTTTTGTCTCACTGATTGCTCTGTTTTGTTAAATATTACTTCTTTGATTGAACGTGGAATTTTTGGCATGTTTGACATGAATTTAACGTCTACAGTGACACCCGTGTATCTCATTTATCACGAGGTTTCCAGCTCTTTTAAGGAAAAGCAAGCAAAGTTAAGAACCCCCCCCCCCCCCCCCCCCCCCAATTCATAAATAATAAGATTAGTCTGCATAATAAAAATTTGGATAAATAAAAAAAACATTCAGATAAAAGATATAATAAAGTTGTTTTTTACAAAACAATAAGAGGTAAATTCTCTCCTCAAAAGAGATACTGTATAGTCCTGAAACAACCCGCCACGCAAATGCCCTCTAACCTATAAAACCACCTTGAGAATTAACATAAAACATACAGTCTGAATATTTCAGTATTCAGACTGAAAGAATGCTTTTTGTAAAACAAAGATGAGGTTGTAATAGGTCTAATGACTGAATCCTGAGCTACACTGCTCACTGGTTTAGCAGCGACCCCTGCATAACATTCATTCAGGACAAATAAACCAATGAGGAGTGATGACACTGACACAGAAAGAGAAAACACAGTGTAAGACTAATCAACCCATATACAGCTGGTAAAATAAGTTCTGAACGTGTCGCCAATTTTTGAAGTAAATCTATTTCTAAAGGTGCTATCGGCATGAAATCGTCACCAGATGTCAGTAACAACCCATCCAATCCACACATGCAAATAAATCAAACCACAGATGATAATAAATCAAGTTAATAATAAATAAAGTGTAATAATGAGAAATGACACAGGGAAAAAGTAGATGCAAAAGGCAAAAGTCATGACATCAGCTGAAATCAGTCATTAGTAATTTGCCACTTAGTGCAAATGAATATCAGCTGGTTCAGTTCTAACTGATGGCCTATAAAATGTGTCTCATTACCAAGCTGTCATACAAGAAACATCTCATGATGGGTAAAACCAATGAGATCTGTCAAGACCTTCACATGCTTGTTGTTGCTAAACATACTGATGGGATTGTTACAGAAGAATTTTTAAACTACTGATGGTTCCAGTGAGCACTGTTGGGGCCATAATCGTGAAGTGGAAAGGACATAATTTCACCACAAACCAGTCACAACCAGTGGCTCTTTGCAAGACTCCAGACAGAGGAGCGAAAAGGATGATCAGAAGAGTTCTCCAAGATCTGCAAGAAGACCTGAAATCAGCAGGTACAATGTGGATGCACTCATCCATGATGGCCTATATGCATCCTTTTTTTTAAACAAAGTATTAAATCAATTTCAGTAACTGTGTTCAGCACTTTTTCCCTGTGTAATTTCTCATTATAACACAAAACATAATTTGTGGACATCTATTGTTTGATATGGTATAGTTTTACTGTCATCTGGTGAGGATTTCAGCAGCACCTTTAGAAATATATTTACTCAGAAAACTGATGCTTTCTGTACTTATTTTACTCGCTGTGGAGGGTAAAGAGTTACAGATGAAAGAGCTGAGCAAGGCACCGAAGTCATTACCACAAAGGACCTTCGGTTGTTTCTTTTAAAGCTTCTACTCTGTTTTTCTCAGACAGTAACATTTCAGTCCACTTGTCCACTGCCGTTTTCTTACTGATGGACTTTAAAGTGCTCATTTTTTCATGTCCCTGTGAAGACTTTGCAGCATTCAAATGACATACAGAGGGGAAGATGAAGCTTTTGTTTGTCTTTGGTCCGCTCGTTTAGTGCCAGTCCGCTTCATAGCGTGCTCTCCTCTGAGTTGCCGCCGACTATAAAGAGAACCGAGGGATCTTTGCTGGAACTCTCTGCTCTGTGTTTCGACCCACGAGATTTGCCTGATTCTCCCTGAAGACCGCTGTTACTGCCGTCTGATTCAGTGCTGGCCCTGCGGCTCACCGTAGCCACCTCCCGGGCCATTTCCTCTGGATGTGGTAGTGCGCGCATTGCCACAGAGCCAGATTTGCCTTTGCTAGATTTTTCTTTTTTTGGCTTACCCGCCTTTGACTTGCTGTCAGATGATTTCCCAGGCAGGTGTGGACTTTTGCTTGGTTGAGGAGGAACGATTGGTGGTTGTGGTTTATTGACGGGAGGATTAACTCTGTGCTCGGGTGCGTTTGGCTGTGCTGTCCCGTTACTGACGACCACATCTGTGAGGCAGTCGTCATCAGTCTGATCCTTGGCAAAGTTGACAAACACCTACAAAAGGTAAGGGGCTTTAGTATCACTGAGACTTATTCTTTCTTTACTGACCCAAGTCTTGTTTAATTATGACCAAGCTTTAAAGTGGGATTTGGCAGATCGGGTATCGCAGCGCCACATGTGGAGAAAATCACTAAGAAAGAATCACTTGGCTCCACTTACATGGGATCATAGGCCATGAGACTTACACCACCCATTTTGCAGAAATAGTCATTTTCCAAAACACTAAAGAGGTTTTTAAACCTTCATCACAGCCCTCACCTGGTCCAGCGTGGTCTGTGAAATGGAGAAATCAACGATGCCCAGCTCCTCGTAGTTGTTTGCCAGCACGTCGAAGACTCGAGCGAGGCAGCAGGCGTGCGAAGGTAGCTGGTACTGCAGCACATTCTGGTGCCGCTCCTTCAGCTCAATACTAGGAAAACACTCCTTCATGTAGGTGCTGACAGGACACGAGTCGGGGTCCGATTTGGTGTCTGCCAAACGAAGGATGATGGTGTATCCATCACCAAACCTGAAAGACGGGAAGGAACGAAGCACGTGATTCACGACTGTTACATGAGAAGATAAACTTCTCTGATCCTGACCTCTTCACGAATTTGTTCACATTCTGTTTTGAAAGGGTCAAGGCTATTTTCAGTACTTTTTTTTTTTTTTTTTTTTTTTCAGTATTAAGTCAGAACTGGGGGTGAAATGCAAAACACTACAGGATGCACTTTCAGCCTGTCTAATGTAGACAACACACCAGACATTAAATCGGGGAGAAGTGCAGCGGCTCGTAGAGGTAAGTGGATATTGTTTAGCTGGTATCGGATCGTATGCCTATATTTGCTGTATCGCACAGCACTAGCGTTTGCTTACCTGTTCTTCAGGTGCTGCACAGACCCAAGACACCGAAACCTGCCGTTGACCATGATGGCCATCCTGGTGCAAAGTGCCTCGCACTCCTCCATGCTGACAATACAAACATTTAGAGACGGCAGTAAATATTTTGCCTTTACAATACAAAACTCCATCGGGAATGAATTAAAGCTGAACTGACTGGTACCTGTGTGAGGTTAGCACTACAGCTCTTCCCTCTTTGGTGACACTGAGAATGCAGTTCCACAAAAATCTTTTGGCTTTTGGGTCCATGCCAGTGGTAGGCTCATCCTGACAAAAGGTGGTGGGGGAGCATAGAGGAGATACGGAGTGAGATATAAGTTAGGAATATTTTAAGGATGAAGGTCATTCAATAATAACCGCATCATCTTTTCTATTAAGCTGAATCATCACCAGGAATATGACAGGTGGAGACCCGATGAGGGAGATGGCTGTGGAGAGCTTCCTCTTGTTGCCCCCGCTGTAGCCTCCAGCCTCCTGATCGGCATACTGAGTAAGCCCCAGCTTCTTCACACCCCACTGTGCCACCTAGAGAACAGCAGAGAAACTGCTGACTGTAGCCAAACTTGATACTTCACCTCTTGAAATAACATTTAAAGATGACAAAACCTAGATTTTTACAATGGCCACATATTTAGCTAAATAAAAACACCAACTCTTCAGCATATCTTCCTTCATAAAACTTTAGCTTGGGAATTTTACACCACCTTAGAGACGAACTCCTCTGGCACCCCCCGCAGGCGGGCGTACAGCTCCAGATGTTCCCGACCTGTGAGCAGGTCGCTGATGGCATCGAACTGTGGGCAGTAACCCATCAGCTGGTGGACCCGCTCCATTTCTGTCAGCACACTGAGAGCAGAGAAATAGCTGATGCAATATCTGTGGTTTGGTACAATAGTAGTTCTGTAGGGGCTGAAGTCACTGCAGCAGACACGCTTTGTACCTGTGCTGGCTGAGGAAAGCCTCTCCATGAGTGACAGGTGTATCTCCAGTTAGCATCCGAAATGTTGACGTCTTCCCAGCTCCGTTGACCCCAAGCAGCCCAAAACACTGGACGGCAGAGACATAAGAGCAGTATGCTACAAACATCTCTATTTATATACACACAGCTCAGTTATTAAGTCATAAGATAACAGAAGCTTTTACTAGCAGAAGCAACTATAGAAAAAGTAGGTCCATTGCTAGTAACGATGGTATTTTTAGATACTGCAGCACTACACTGTTCACTGCATCATTCCATGTTTGGCACTGATCACCACCTGCACTCATGTATATATCTATCTACTTAGCACTTTTAATTCTTTTATTTTCATGTCTATTTAAGCGTAATTTATGACAGTTTGTTTGCACTGAAGCACCGCAGCAATTTCCTAATGTTGTAAATCTGCTCAACATTTGGCAATAAAACCCTTTCTGATTCTGACTACATGTGAAAGTATAAATAGCAGTTACAGTGGTGAAAAGCAGTACCTCAAGTTGCATTTACAATATCATAAAACAGTCCCTGTGATAATGTGGCTGTAACTACATGGATAAAGAACACAGAGCTGACAGCCAAAGGGGGTGTGTGTCTTCACAATCACTGGTGCGCAGATCCCTCACCTCGCTGCGAGGAATCCCGAGGCAAAGACGGTCTACGGCTGGCTTTCTGCCGGCTTTATAAACCTGAACAACAAGAAGCTTATTTGTTACACTTTTAAGCTGAAATTCACCACTCTGTGTCAGTGTAGGAGGAGGACAGCTCATCAGTGAGAGTCTCTCGAATGAGAAACATTTAGCTGCAGTAGAGTTAATTAGTGACCTAAACAAGTTCAGCGTTTACATTTCCTGCACGTTGTACCTTGCTCAGGTCGATCATGGTGAGGATGTCTGAGTGTGCTTTCCCACTTTTGACCCTCTCTCGCTCTCTCGCAACATCCTCATCCTCTGGACCAAGAGGAGGCAACTCAGGCTTAGTCCACCAAGGCCTGAACAAACACACAAGCAACCAACTCACAGATCCCACTTTTATTTGATTTTAGAATTTCTATCCATTAAACTGACACACTTGCACGGCAGCAATAAGAGGAAGGAAAAGGGAAACAACCTGAGAAACGAGTGCAGAGAACGTTAAAAATAGATTTATTATTTTTTTTTACCTGTAGCGGATGAAGAATTTGTACTGAAGGAGTATGGTAAAGATGAAGAAGACGACACCTTCTACTGCCATTGCAAAAAGGTTCTTTCCTACAAAGTCCCACTGAAGGGGGTCCAGGCTTGGTTTGGTACCTGGAGGAGAGACATTACATCTATATTTAGTCTTTGTAAGAGCAAATAACTCTTTTGAGGCTGACTAGTATGTACCCAGTCTTTTGAACGCATCCACCATGGCCTGGTTTTTGGCCATGTCGATAAGTCCTCGTCCCAAACAAAAATGAGGGAAGATTAAAAACACCTTCTTCAGGATTCTGTTCACCTCGTTCAGATACTGGAAAGACAAAATCATTCACATATGATGTATTAGTTAAAGGTGCATTAAACAAAATTATGTTTCTACTGCAGAGAAATATTTTAAGGAACATTTCCTTAGTTAAGAAAATGTAAAACAAGAGGGTTAAAGCATAGTTACTGTTATTTACATATATTTATGCCTTACTTATTCCTAGAACACAGGTGAAGAAGTAATTGAACTTCACGCCTGCGTAAAATTTACCTCATCTACAAACAGCTCCAGGACGAAGGTGGCGATGCTGCCGTTGATTCCAATGAAGAGGTTGATGGAGGTCAAAAATACATAAGCTGTGCTTGGGACAGTGAACACAAAGGATGCTGGGTACATAAGAGGGGTTATGGACCACCCGTAGAACAGGAGGAGCAGGATAAGAGCGGGCAGGTTGGTCTCAGAAACGTATGACTGCTGCTGGAAACTGATGAAAATCAGCACCACCATGATAGCAGGAATGGTGTAGTTTAACTGGAAACAAAGAAAAAAGGGAAAACTATCCTGAGCCTGGATTTTTATCTAGTCAAGTATGTGATGATAGTCTAAAGGCCTTTACACACCTGACATGTAAAATCTGTACAAATATTTCGTGTTAAAAATGTTTCTGGGACGATTCTCAATGCAACTATTCATGCTCAGTAATTTCCCTGGACATTTATTTTTTCATACTGAGCTTGAATTTTCTGATTTCTTTGGGTCTGAATAAACAGCATTGATCAATCTGACCACTGCATTTGGCAACAAGAGCGCTCGTAGCTCAAAACATGTATTGGATCCACAAACAGTAAAATAATACTATTTTACTTCAGACACACAGCTAGACGCTTCTCCAGGTCAATCAGGTCTCTGAACTTATGTCTCTGCTTCCTCAGATGTGGAAGCCAACGAGAGCTCAAACTGTCCCACCGACATCCTGAAATGTGTGCGAAAGCACCGTGATACAGCTGCAACTCCTGGATCAAACCGTGAAATCTCAGTTTCTTCCTTGTCTTGTTCAGAAACATCAGGACCAGCTCATTATTGCTCAATGCTGTGTGTAATGGTCTTTACAGTGACAGTACCCTTTACAGTAGTAAATGGATTGATGAAACTTCCTGACTTACACTGATGCATACAAATCTGTCTGAGTGAGGACAGTTAACTTCTTCTATCTCGAGCTGTACTGACCATGTCCCAGGTAAAGTTGGCCAGCCAGTAGAGAATCGGTTTGACCCCGCTGACAAACTGCAGGTGTTTAGCTTTGCTGACTCGCTCCTCGATCAGAAAAAGGACGAAACTGGCCGGCACGAAGGACATGGCAAAGATCACACAGATGGAAACCAGGACATCCACCGATGTAGTCATCCTGAAGGAGAAAGCAGAGAAAAACACATCAGAGGACTGTGGACCTCTTTATTTTAAAAGAAAAAAAATAAAATATTTTTTTACAACAGTGCAGAGTTTAAATCCACTCTAATCTTCCCCCTCACATAAACAGAACTAATACAACGAGCACAAGAGCCAAACTGGTGAACTTGAACTCTCCACAGCAGTGAACTAACATGGCTACTTCAGTGAGCTGCTCCTTGGTGAGGTTGAGTGGGTGATTGTAGGCAGTGATGCCGTGCTTCCTCCTCTCAGGACCTGGCGGCAGACTCGCTCTCAGCAGGCCGTTGTTCATCACATTGACAAATGACACCATGGCGTGCCAGCCTTTGTTGTTGTACCACACCTGAGCACAGAAAAGAGAGCGTTTGAGCAGACACAAATATCTGGACGCATCACCTACATCGCTTTCTTTAAAGTCTGGGGAAAAACAAACAGAAGACACAAAGACAGATAAAAAGACGCTCATTTACCTTCACATTGTTTTCACTGTTCAGCCCTCCTAAGACCTCTGGGAGTCTGTGCAGCAGGTTTCCCAGTGAACTGTTCTGTGATGAAGCAAAAAGCAGACTCTCAGTGTTGACGGCTTTAATGGGGAATCATGTGGTGTGGGGGATGGTGGGTGAAGCTTTTTATTGTTATTAGCCGGTGCTCTGGTCAGGACTAGCTTTTCCTGGCACCAGCAGTAGAACTTCCAGCCCTTTTAAATATTTTACTTCCATTTTCCCTGCTTTTCTCTCTGTAAAGGTAGAAAAAAAAAATTAGTCTTATTAAAGCACTCATCTTAAGGCTCTCTGTACCTGTGGGACTCGGAAACGAGTCCTGATGGCCATGACCGAGTCTTGGAGATATTGGGTTTGAGATACAGCTCTGCCTCCGAGGGAGAAGCCTCCGTATCTGTGATACATTTTAGAAATAATACAAAGGTGGTTCAACTGAGTTCATTTAAAACAGTTCAAAGCATTTAAAGAAATATCACAGTTAAATAGAGCAGATATTTTGTATATTAGTGTAATTTAACAGCTTACCTGAATTCATTCACCCACTTCTTGGTTTTTAGGCTATTAAAGGCAGAGAGAGAGAGAAGCGATCACAGAGTTATATTCATGATGGAAAAATGCAAATCAGTCAAAGTTTATAAAGACATTTATGAATACTGTGAAGTGTTCGGTCAATTGGGATCAAAATTAATGATAGCTATTAGGGGTGCAACGATACTCGTATTGATATTGAACCGTTCGATACAGTGCTTTCGGTTCAGTACGCATATGTATGAACAATACAAAATTTGCAATTTATTTTATCAACTTTCC